CCCCAAAACCCCAAAACCCCAAAACCCCAAAACCCCAACCGATGAGAATAATAGAAGGTTTATAAATAATTAATTTATGATGGGTTCAACTGAGTGGGGTTATCACCAGAGCTTTGGAAGGTACAAAGCGGAAGGGGAAGATTCTGAGGACTTATGAATGGATTTTGAGGGCTGTGATGGAAAAAAATGAGATAAATGGATAGCAACAGTCTCAGTGTTACTGGCGATCTGAGTTTTACTTCAGATTGTGTTGGTAATAAGCACGTACAAATTTTTCAGAGCTTTAAAGATAAAGAAAAAGCTCCTGACTATTTCTTCGGTGTTCTTGAACCTCACTGTGTTTACAAGAATTTTATATTATACACATGAGATTTTCTCCAAAAGAAGGTAAGAAAAGCTAAAATCTTGTATAGAAATTGAAATGCAGTCCCACATCAATGACTGAACGGAATAACCACAAACTTCTCCATCTACTGCTTACTAGTATCCTTCTCCTTTGGAATTCTAAATTGGCTGAACCAAATCAGGGAGATAAAAAAATACACCCAAACCACTAAAAATCACCTATCAAACTGTCTAAAACTCACCATCATCCTAATAATCCTAATATTCATCAGCTTGTTCACCTTAACTGCATTATTCTCTTGCTACTCTCCCCAAGGCATCAACAACAGCACAATAGACACATCCACCCAATTCGTGATCATTATCTGCTTCTTCCTAATCGGTGTGATCTACCCTACAGCTGGTTACTACTTTTACAAGCAACTGAAGGTTTTCTGAATGCAGAAGGCACTTGAGATGAAAAGACAGATTCTACTGCCAACTAACCTTGTAGTAGTTTCAGTGCTTATAAGAGCTACTTACAATACTTTTTCATATAGATTTAAATTGGAAAAATATTTTGAGCAAAAAGGAATCTGATGAAATAATACTAAATTTCCTATCCTTATTGGTCTTTACTTCGTCGTCACTGATTTCCTCCCTATTATCTCACAAATTATATTGATGAGCATATTATCAAAGAACTTAAAGCTTTCTACCGAGGCTTCTCCTCACTCTGAAGCAGATACACTCACCAGGTAACCTATCTATAACTCAATCATAGAAGTCTCGTACAAGAAAATGACACTTTCACTGACTCTAGTATCTTAATGAACGATAGCCATCCCAGTAGTGAACTATACTTCGAAGGAGACAGATCAGATTTCTACACAGATGAGTCCCTCAGACGCCAGGAAGGAATCCCATAATCAGCTAAACCACAGTTTTTCCTTCTTCTATTCTATAAAACTTACTCAACCTCTCTGTAGGATCTCGGGGTTTTGGGGTTTTGGGGTTTTGGGGTTTTGGGGTTTTGGGG